GTGCATGCGGGCAGAGAAGGTGCTTCTGTCAATACTTTTGGTGAAGTGAAGTGGTCCATCTCGGCACTGAGGCAGAAGCACCTTGGCTGTGCCTTAAAACACATTGTTCTTTCAATTTAGTTTGATGTGGCTTCATAAGATAGCACCATTTTATACAAGTCTAGAGCTCAGGCTTTATGTTTATGAAAGAGAGTACAAAGATTTTGATATGACTATTCTACTAAAATCTATACCCCTTGGGACAATTTCCAAACCTCTAGGTAAGTTGGCTTTTCCCCTATGACATAAAAAATGAGTCAGACTTCCTTTCTACTCCTCCACACCAATTTCTCTTTTTGATACTGGAAATTCCTGTTCCTTGTATTAGCTCAAAAGGGGACAAATGCAGGGACAGCAGAATAATTTTTAGATCCAAAAGATGCAAGGTTCACTCATCTCTAAGCTACACTTCTGATTTGGAAAAAAAAATACTTATATAAATTTGTTGCCTGCTATTATTTTTTATGAGTATGTTTTTAAAGAGAAAAACCAGAAAAGAAAAGACAATGACATTTTAAAGGGAAAAATGTCGGAGGAATAATCAACAGATCTTCAAGATTTCCGCTTCTATTTTTGACAAGTCCTTGAGTAGGTTGAAAAGTTCAAATGTCATAGCTGGATTGCCTTGTCTGCGATTCTAAATTCCACTATTGTGTTTTTACTTGATATAATAGATGGTCTGAATGTTGCAAGTATGACAAAACAGTAACACATTTGTTGACTGAAGATAAAACACTTCAAAACCTAGAGGGCACAGATATTGTACTGTGTCATATGTCATATTTAAAGGTTTTTTCCTTCATAATAGTAACAATTTCATTAAAGCTAGTCAGTATTCATTCTGCCATGCAGAATTTACAGTAAAATTGCAGTTCATTGATGGTTCCAATGTTTATAGAAGGCATAGCTCTATCCAGAAATCTTCTGTCATAAGTAAGCAACTAGTCCGTTAGTCTGTGCTGATGAGAAAAGTCCACAATTTAGATTAGGATTTCTGCAGTTAAGTTCTTCCATCTGCCTTGTAAATAAAGGCACACATAGGTAAGAAGGTAGCATTTTACTTTTAATCAGTCCGTGGCATTTTCTTAAATTAGGTGGTAACACACACCTCAATAAACAAAGTATATTATTTGCCAATAAACAAAGCTAAATCCCTCACCATTCATCCCCAGCATTATATGGAAAATTATTAAATTGCTAGCATTTTAATATTAATATTTTAAGTCTTGATGATTTTAAGTTTTTAGGTTTGATGCAGTGATTAAGGCATTAAGCTAAAAACTATGAATACATGAATTGTCCTGCTTTAGGAACAAAGCAAGGAAGAAGGCAATGGAAAACCACGTCTGAAAAACTTTGCCAAGGAAACTTCAGGGACTTGTTCAGGTAGACCTCAAGAATCAGACACAATTGAACAGAAGAAAAAAGGACTTCCAGTCTGCGTTGCAGTGGAACGGGATGCACGAAAGCAGGGCTCTGCCTTCCATGCCCAATTTTGCCCTGCTGGGGGCCCTAAAAAGGACCTAAAATTGCCCCGAAGAGGTGATGAAGAGGAGGGTACCTTGTCAATAATGGAAAGATGGCGGTCTTTCCATTCGACCCAAGGAAAGCCCTCCAAACCGGCAAGGGAAAGACTGGTTACATTCTTGTGGCAGGCCATTAGCTGCTGACAACCAAAGAGGAAAAAAGTACTACTTAATACATCACAAACAGCATGTCTGGAATTGGGTGAGATTATTGATCCTTTCTTTACTATTTTACAACTGAATTTCCTGGGAAAGGCTCCCAACAAGCGAAAAACCTCTGAATGTAAATGGAAGTGGCGTTTTAATTTTGTGGGGGACAGAAACATACAATTTTTTTTTAAAAAAAAAATTATTTTCAATTTTGCATTACATTCATAAAAATACTTCACATAAAGAGTAAAATAAATTTATACACACAACTTTCGGTATTGCTCACCCATTTCCCCCCAAACTGCATCCACCCTCTAACCTCTTCTCTCACTTCCCTCTTTCCCTCTTCTTCCTCACTCTTCCCCTCTCCTCCTTCTCCTCAACCTTCCTACTTACTTCTCCCCTTCCTCCTATCTTCTCACTCCGGATGCAGTCCAGGGGAAATGCCCGAGCAATTCCTCTCTCCAAATTAAAACATCAATATTATATACAATAAAACTATTTCTACTTATCTGAGCTATTTAAGCTTCAACCCATCCTCCCACCCCCTCCCCCCAACTTCCCAGAACCAAGTACAGGGTTATACAAACATATTAAACATAATCTATTCACTTCAACCTTCCTACTTCTCACCTTCTTCTCCTCCCTCTTGATGCGGTCCAGGGGAAATGCCCGAGCAGTTCCTCTCTCAAAATTAAAACATTAATATTATATACAATAAGACTATTTCTACTTTATCTGAACTACTTAAACTTCAACCCATCCCCCCCACCCCCTCCCCCCACCCCCCTCCCCCGCCGACTTCCCAGAGCAAAATACAGGATTATGCAAACATATTAAACATAATCTATTTAAGTTTGCTAATTATACAATAAACAAAATCATAAAAACCCTTAACTTTCTTCAAACTTTAACATCATAAGTTTATAAACAAAATCATTACTCATAGAATAAGTGAAACTTTGTAGTTCCATATTTCTTCTGAACATATTCTATCCATCTTCTCCATATGTTAAAATATCTCTCTTGTGAATGGGCCTTTAAATAAGCAGAAATTTTAGCCATTTCTGCTAAATTAGAAACCTTAAATACCCATTCTTCTAAAGAAGGCAGAGAGTCCTTCTTCCAATATTGACCCACCAATAATCTTGCTGCTGTTATTAAGTTCAACATTAAGATAGTTTCTTTAGCATCAAAATCCACAAAAATACCCAAAAGAAATAACGGGGGAGTAAAATTAATCTTCCTTTTAAAAACCTTTTGAATGTTCCACCAAATCATAATCCAAAAAGCTTTAATATTTTTACAAGTCCACCAAACATGAAAAATAGATGCAACCACATCTCCAACATTTAGGTTGCAGGTTCGGGTACATACAGGACAACTTTTTAGGATCCAGATGCCATCTATAAAACATTTTATAAAAATTTTCCCTCAAATTTTGAGCCTGCGTAAATTTAATATTTCTAATCCAAATTATCTCCCATAAATCCAATGAGATCGGTTCCTGAATATTCTGGGCCCATTTAATCATACAATCTTTTACTAACTCTGTTTCCAAATCCAATTTTATTAACTCATTGTAAATTCTTTTAATATGAGCATATTTCTGATCTTTAATCTGAATTACCAAATTCTCATCTACTAAAGTAATTCCCACTTTCTTATCTAAGGTCCACCTCTCCACTATTTGCAAATATTAAAACCATGATTGTAAAATATTTTCTTGCCTTAGCACATCTGAAGGCTTTAGTTGCCAATCAGTACCCGACCAAATAAGTAACTCTTTATACGAAATCCTCCAAGACCTTCTAGTCCTTCTAGAAACATACAATATTGAAGTGGAAGTAACATAAAGCTACAGTTTCGATAAATTTGAGAACTGAGATAACTGTTAAGATTTTCTCTTCGAAAAAAAAAAACATTGAGGCAAAATATAAGAAATCAGTCCTTTGTTTTAAGAGTGGAAAATGGATTTTGAATGACATCTAGTGGTGGATTTGTGTATAGCACTATAATTTGCTTTGCTTGGTAATTCCTATCCTGGGAGAACAGCTGGCAATAAAGGAAAATATTTTGACATACTTATCATCCTGACCTTCTTGGATTATAAATACCTACTGAGCTTGGACTTTTAACTTTAAGAGCTAGTGGGAGAGAAAGAAACATTTGACTTTGGACTATGCCTGGCTGGGAAAGACCTTTGAGTTGTTTTGAGAGAGGTTGAACATTTGGAATATTGTGGATTACAACCTTGCCTGACTGACAATTTTTGGGATATTTGAGACAAGGGATTACTATAAAACAGGGGTGTCAAACTGCCGGCCCGCAGGCCAGATGCGTCACATGGAAGCCACGCCTACCTCATTGCCGGCAATGGCAAAACTGGCCCAATACGTTGCATGATGTCGTATGATGTCATGCGTTTGATATGCCTGCTATAAAATATTGCTTTCAGAACTGAATCTATACTTTGGAATATATTGGATTATAAAGGATACACATAAAGACCAGAAAACTAATCTCCATGAATGATGCCTCAAGAAAAAACAAACACCTTTCAGAAAGAAATATATTCTATGTTACAACTAATCCACCAAAGAGTTGTTGAATGCAGAAAGGATATAAAAAGAAATCATAATGAGACTAAAAACAATTTAGACAATATAAACGAGCAAATCTCCAAATTAAATCTACAATTAGAAAGCTCCCAGATAATCACCACAAAGTATGAACAAATAATCTAGAAATCAGAAGATGAAACAGAGGAAATAAATTTAGAGATGGAAAAGATAAAAGAACTGTAAGACTTAGCTATAGCAATGAAAATGCAAAAGACCTTTTACCCCTTAGGTCTGCAAAATATATCTGATGGCAAAGAAAAAGATTTTTAAAAAGGGAATATAGAGCTATTAAGGGAAATGTCACAACTTGAGAGACAGGAAATGAAGAGAAATGGAGGGTGAAAGGAATTGGGAGTTGTTTAAAGAATATAATTGGGCGGAATTCCCCCCTCAAAAATACCATACCCAAACTGTTTTCCTCATGAAAAACAATTTTCACAAAAATAAAAAGAAAGCTCCTGGGTGATCTAATAGCCCTGGCTTGGAAAGCGACTTGGCAAAGAAAGAAAGCGAGAGTCAGATTTAAAAATCAGAAGACTTGACCTTCTAGAGGGGGCATTATATGTTTAAATACATTTTTGAATAAGATTAAAAGAATGGAAGACTTTTAGATATAATTAGACTTTTACAATTAAAGATATCATTTAGAATTAAGATAGCATTTTTTCTTTTTTTGATATGGGAAATATGAAGCTGATTGATTTGAATAAAGAACACGGGCTGCAAATAATAACTGGGAAAGAGATGTAGGTGAGAAAGACTGGCTAAAATAATCTGACCCAGATATGTGATGGTGCTTGGGTAAATTATCACGGCATCTATCATCAATATGTTGAAATATTGGATGACAGAGATGTGTGGCTTATGTGGCTAATGCTATAACTGCTGACACTCACCTCTAACATCCTGGCGGAGCAATAATGAGGTTAGATAGAGGGCTAGAGCATAAGTGGAGATAACAAGGTACTGCTTGGGCTTATTTTAAGAAATCTAAAGAATGTCTAGAAATTTCAGTTGGCATAAATGCTGCAGCCAGACTGCTAACTGGTATAGACTATAGGGATCACATGATAACTGTGCAGAAAGACTTTCATTGGCTGTCAATTACATATAATGTATCTTTTTCACTAAATGCTTAATTCTTTTAATTTTACTTATTCAATGTCGTTTTAAATCTTGCGTTTTTGTTTTAAAAGTTGTATGCTCGTATAACCCCAGTGCTTATATAAACAGAAGCAGAAATTACATTTTAAAAAATGCATTGCCTATCATGTGGTTACCTAAAAAAAATAACCAAATTGCTGGATGATATAATAGCACCAACTGATTCACAAATTAGCCAACTGCAATTTAGTCTAATAGGTTTTGCAAATCCAGCCAGTGTGGCTAATTTGAGATTCAATGTACTATCCAAGATTTCTTTGGTAGAAATATTGTTATTAAGAAAGGCAAAAGGTTTACTCCATAGTGGAGAACCTGAGGCTAAGGTAGTTTGAAAAAGAAAGTTATGAAAGTGAATAGCTACAGGGATACTATCAACCATGTTTTTAGAAGAAACTTTAGGCTAAATTGCATTTTATTCTAAAATCTAAGTGGTACTAAAAAGGTCTGTACATCATAGGTTAATTAGTGGCTCATGTTTTCTTAGTCTGAAAAAAATCATATTTAAAAAGGCTATCTGTGACTCATTATATATTTTCACTAAAGTTACACAGACATAAGCATATATATTTTATCATGTAAAAAAGTAGTACAAAGGGAAGTTCCTAATTTAATATACAAATTTCTGGATGTTTCATGACATACTTTACTATGAAAATAGCTATTAAGGAAAATTTAATATTTTAGACACAAATGTTTGAATTTGTGTCTAAAAGGGAATCAAATTTAACATTTTTTAAAAGATCAGTACCAGCATCTTAAATTGTACTTGATATGCAATATATAAATTTGACTTTGAAGAAGGATAGAAAAAACATTGGTGCTTTCAAATTTTGGTGTTAAAGAAGATACTTGGAAATACTATGGATAGCCAAGAAAATGAATACCTAGATCATCAAACAAGTCAACCCAGAATTCTTACTAATCACACAAATGACCAGGGTCAAATTATTGTACTTCAAACATATTACGGTATATGCAGACCTCTAATGATGGGGAGAATGGAAGGAAAGGGAGGAAGAGGACAACAAGTTCAAAGTTGATGGACTAAATTACAGTGATAATGGGTAAACCATTGGAAGATAGAAAGATTAGGTTGGAATAAATGCTCCTGGAGAAAATCTATGTGGTCACTAAGAAGCAATGCCAACTTTAAGGCACATAATCATCATCAAATCAATCAATATACAAATATTTAATATGTAAAATATCATTCATATAGTGTAATAACTATGTTTGCAGAATGGCATTTTAGTTAGTAAAATTATTTTGATTCAAAACCTTACTTTCAAAATGTGGCAAAACCTAATCTATGGTTAGTGAGGTATAAAGGAGTCCTTTAAATTATGCAAGTAAACACTGTTTTCAGAACATGTATTAATGTAGAAATGATTTTAAAAATGCACTCCATAACTATTAAATTGAGAAATATATTTCATATTATTTTTGTACAAGGAATAGATAATTCTGGTACCTTCTAACAAAAATCTAGTTTATTGAAGTCCTATAGAAGCAAGAATCAGAATCAGCAAAAAGATATATGAATGAACACTTCATGACTTTATAGATCTACATAGGTTTTGTTTGTATGATATGTTTTATTAAAAATCCCTATTAATAAATTGATACATTATGTTTCAACAATCCCCTGCCTGCTTTATAAATGACTGTTCAACCAATTTATTATGGTTATCCAAGCTGAAACTGAAACCAGAATTTGTAACAAATATTCATTAGCTTAAATTTAATTTTCCAGACATTCAAATAGCAACTTTTGTGGACTTGAAAGATACAGCAAAAACCCTAATGAGGTGCATGCCATGGTAAGTAAAATGGTGGTAGGTGTATATCCTTACTAAATGGTATTTTTGGTTTAGCATGCTATGCAATAGTGTCCAAAGCAAAGTATGGTGATATCACCATGCAAATAATGATGCTATGCTGCAAAGTATTGACTCAGATGTGCTAAATCATGGTTTGCTCCATCACGGTTTCCCAAATAAGCCAAAATTAATGATTTGCAAATCCTAAGTTGAGTTCATACCATGTGCTAAAGCAAACCAATGACAAGATAACCAATCTTTTCTAAAGACATCCTCCAAATAGTATTAAATTTTAATAGTAATCTGAAACTAATATTAGTTTAATGCTGATATTTTGACCATGATAAACACGTGTTATAGGATTTGAAATCTAATACATATGAGATCATTACATTGCCAGAGACTAGTCTATACAATTTCAAGGATGATTCACCAATGATTAACCAAAATTAACCCAACAATCCAGATTATGGTTCAATGAGATTTGTAAAACAACTCATTAAGATTTGTAAAACATGGAATTCCGGTTCCGGATCACGGCGTTTGCAGCCATGCGAAGAGACTGCTCTCTTTGCTGGCTGATTTCCCTCTGCCGGTAGGAGGTCCTCATCGACCGTGGGAGAACGGCAGCTTCTTCCGCAGTCCAAGATTGCTCCTTAGGGCCGACGGAGGAAAGATCGGCCAGTAAAATGGCCGATCACTTTGCTGCTGTAACCAGAAGTCAGAAGACCATCTAAGCACAAAGAACCACCGTGGTTGATCCGGGTGAGTTTTTTCCTTTCCTCTCTGAGTCCTTTTTTCTTTTGGTTTCCTGCAAAAAGCATTTTTTGGAACTACTTCCCTGTTTTAAGAGAGCGGCATGTGCTAGTGTGTGGGAAGGAAAGCTGTGAAATGGAATGAAAATTGAATCTAATTGACTATCTTTGACTTTCATCTACTTTGGGGTCTTGAAAAGATTCTTACTATTAAACTTTATTACTGGACTCAGCATATATGTGAAAAATATTATTTTCTTTTGGTTTTTCTTTCTTTGTCTGACTTTGACAATGTTATCTTTGGTGTCTGGAAAGAGTATTTTATAGCCTACTGAGGACACCTTGTGGAGAAATTTAAAATTGTAACAGTCTTTGTTTTTTGTCTGGTGATGAGTTTGGCTTTGACCTTCAGATTACCATAAAGGAAAAGACAAAGAAACAACAGCTGTTTTGTGGGGGTGGACACTGGCTAAATGTTTTTGAATACAGCCTTCACTAAAAGATAACTGGTCTGGTCCTAGTTACCAATGAAAATGGAGAAATCCTATTTACATTTCAACTGTAAACTTATACTGGAGAAAATCTATGAAGCCACTGAGCAAATATGTTGCCAAATAAGAGAGAGTACTACAGAAATAACAAACAGAAACTTTATCTTGAACTTACAAACCGATTTTCAGATCTCATCTGAATATTCTACAGACCAAAAAAACAATAGAAGAATTAATCATCATTAAAGAGGATTCTATTTCATCTGATACACAACCTTTTGAGATTTTTGATGATCAAAAAATGATTGCAATTAAATCATCAATACCTTTTAAATTAACAGAAATGGACTTCCAATTACAATTGATTAAGAACTATGACAATGTTGTTAACTAACTACTAATTACAAAATTGGTCAGGAGTGAGTCTCCTATTCAGCAGAGTGAAATGTTGAGGCTTGAATCTTTAAAACAACAAGGGACTACCTACAAAGGACTCAGATCTCTAAAACAGAAGAGGGGACGCTCTTCCCTGATTCAAATGCTACCACAAGGAATAAAAAGAGACTTATTCGTTGACATAGAGGCTTTGTTATGGAAACCGGCTTGGTACAAAAAGAAAGCTAGATTAAGATTTAAGAATGTGATCTAAAATGGTACATAATGGGTTAAAGACTTTTTAGACACGGATTGACTTAAAGTTTAAACTTGGCAAATAAGATACCAGAGATCCTGATTGAAGAAAGACTAATTAAATGTGAAATTAGCGAAAAGATGTTTGCTTTTGTACTAATATGTGCATGGGGGATATAATAATAATTTGAATTGGATTTAAATGTTATTGAATGGGTTAAAAGAGTATTATATAGATTTTGATTGATTGATAGATTATAGATTTAAAATAGATTAGAAATGCATTGTTTGGAGTAATATTTTTGTTTTCTAGGAAGGAAAGCTATTTTGTGAAGCAAGGGGAATAAGAGGGATTTTTGATAAAAGAAATGAAATTAATAAATGAGTTACTAATTATGTCAAGGAAAAGGGAAGGGAAAGACACCTGAAGTGTTAATAATATGGTTATTTAAGCTAAATGGGAATATGGTAATTGTAAATTGTAAAGCTTAATACAGGATTTTGATCTATATAAATGAAATGTTATTAATGATTGTTTGGATTGATTGAATTATATTGAAATATATATTAATTTGAATATAATATAATATTTGAGGGAACAGAGAGGGAGTTTGTAATGATTTAATTTGAATTACATATGTATGATTTTGTTTTGGCATAATTGATTACCCTGTCACCATGTTGTTTCTCAAGCATTTGGTTGTAAAAAGAAAAAATAATAAAACTTGTATTATAAAAAAAAGATTTGGAAAACATGGTTTATGGTGCAAAATGCAGACATCCAACAATACGTAATTCAACAAATCATCATTTAGTTGAATGTGAGGCCTAGATTTTAGATGAAAGAAAAGTGTCCTAAAGGGTCCAGAATGCAAGAATAGTTACATACTAAAGAACCAACAGAAAATAGGATAAAGAAAAGAAACACAGCTAAGACAAAAGAGCATTTGTGCTCTTTATTGGATAGACAAAAGTCTGCTTTCTACACAGCACTTAAAAATAATCCTTGGTTAGAAGCCATCAGGAAATACCAGAGTTGTAAGATATACTGAAAAGTTGAAAAACATTCTAGAAAAAGGCACTGGTAAATCACCTTCAGAGTTGTTGCCAAAATCAATACAGAATTATTTTCATGTGGCTACCAGCAGGGCATCTTCACTTTTTAAATAACCAGTCAATGTCTAGCTGCAGACTAAATCAATCAATAAATAAAATATAAATAAATAAATAAATTGTTTTTAAATATTTTCCCTTCAGGCCTCTCATTCCTGGGGCTCACATCCTTGCCCTAACATTTTTAGGAAGGCTACCTAATCAAGGAACTCAAACCAGGCCAGCTGCTGATTCAGGGTTAATTTCTTTTTCCAGTTGCAGATAATTTAGCTAGAATATTTTCTATATTTACTTATCAGCCTTACAGATGAGGGTCAGAAGGGCAAGGGCTGTAACATTTTAGTAATGAACCTACTTTCTGGGAGGGCTGTTCTCTACCCGGGGTGTGAATTGTTGCTTGTTGCCTATAGCTGGCTAGTTATCATATGCCTATGCTTTCCAAAAGTGTATAAAAGGTATGCCAATCTGTATATTAGGGACTCTTGATTACAGAATAAGCAGGTTGCAATTGCCTGTCTTGTGTAGGTAATAATTGGCTACTTTGAACCAGGGAAAAACAAAATCAGCATTTGGCTGGGCCAGTTCATGATTTGGCTATCAATGGTGATAGAAGACAGTCTTTCTTTATGTATATAATTCCTCTCTTTATTTGGATTATTTTAAAACCATATATGGAAACCAATATTAATGTATTTTCGGTTATATAACCAATAAAATGTATACTTTCACTTCAGCTAGGTAACTATCAGAATGTAATATTTTGGTGCCTCCTTTGTGTGAAAATTTGTTAGGCTCTCTCAGTAATATAATATAATATAATATAATATAATATAATATAATATACTGATCAAGTGAAGTCAAGGTCAGAAAATACAACTTGACATGTCCACGTGAACGGACTTATTCAACATGTACATGTATAAGACATTTATATGAAAGAAGACAATCATGTTAGAGATGCTGGCTCTATACATCAAATTTTGTTGTTTAAACTTTGGTATAGAGTAGATTCATGGTCTGCATGACTTTTACTATCTACTCCTGCTAGACTGATCTTCAACTCATTATCAATCCACTATTAAATTGCACACCCAAAAGCTGATTATATATATCAATCTAGAATTTAAATAAACCTCATGTTAGTGGCCATAAAGGTTTGATGGCTTGAAACCTTTAGGATATATATAATCTTTAGGTTAACATTGTGATATTATTAGTTAATTACCTGGATATAAGCCTACATAGATGAGAACTAGACTAAGACAATATGAAAGATGGTATTACAAGCCATGGTTAATTCTGTGCATAACCCAATCACATAAAATAAATTGTAAAAGATTCACTACTGGAAAAAACTAGAGAAAACATACATTTTCTTCTCTTCAGCTTTCTGCACAGAGATTCTAATGTACAGCTCTTCTTTAATTCACATTTCTATTCAATTTTTAAGAAATTAAGTGAAAAATACCATCTTCTGTGCTTTGCAAATCAAATACAATTCAGTATTCAGCCTTAGTAGTTTTATACTTTTCAAGATTTATCTACATATTTAATAATATATGTAGAAATCTTTGTGTCCCATTTTACAGACACATATTATGTAAACTAGTATATGTTTGCTAAGATTAAATTAAAAAAACAAATTATGATTGATCATCATTTGTGAAATCAAACATTGGAGTTAATGTATCATTAAGATCCACATAAAAATCTGAAAAACATTCAGTGGAAAAATTCAGAAAATCTGAAATACAGCAAATACTTTTTCACAAATCTGTATACAGAATCACTCTCAGTCCTGATATTACTTTTGTGGGCATTCATGTGAAGTAATATCAAAAGTAATATTAGTAAGTCTGCGCCCACCTAAGAATATCTACTTATGAGAGGTAAATGTGCTTTTGAGATTCTTATCAAGTATATTACTTATAAATGTCCATAGCTGTAGACATTTACAACAGTAGTATTAACCTCTGAATAACATCTGCATGTATCAGCGTACAAAATCAGGATATATCAAAAGCAAGACAATTTTGGATTACATGCTCTTGCTTTTCCTGAAAGACAGAAATGGAAACCTCAAGATGTATAATGCTTGTTTCCAGAATGTTTTTCCGGGTGATTTCTTTGTTTTAGAAACTAAAACTTATTGGGTCAAATCTCAAGCTAAGCAGCATAAATATTTCCTAATTTTGGCCTTGATTTACATCTTCAGGATTCTTGAGGTTTGATGTGTCTATACCCAATCCCAGTTTATGAAGTAATCTGTTTGTTTCAACCATGCTTTATACATGCTTCCATGAGATTTTATGAAATGTTTCTGCAGCTGTTCTTAAAACTATCCCCTCCTCCCTACCAGAGGAATGATTCTCTTCAGAAGATGACTTAAGAATAGATTTTCAGCAAGAAAATAGTAGTCCATTACCAGTCTCTTGGCATTATCATTCTTGGCACTTTAAAACAAGTTGGCTCTTCAGACAAAACAAGGCATGCAAATAAATAAGAAATTCTTGATGGCATAATGCCTTTATGTGGGAAAACTAAGACCATTTACTCATTAGAAATGAATGATCAGATAATTTGAGTTTCTCAGGTTTTATGCCAATGCAGAAGTTACATATAAAGCACTCTATTTTCTGTACTTTTAAAACTTACCGAGTTTCAAGGCAAGAATGTTGCTGGCTGAGACATAGTAGCATTATAATACTTTTGCAAGCTTTTTCTTTCTCTGCAGACCAAAATTATCACTTGAATGATTTACAGTGCATTTCTTGTTTCAAGCATGTAAATAGGGTGCTTTCAACTGACTGCAATAATCCCCCTTCAGTAATTACTTTACCCAAAAGCTCTTTATTATGTCCTGTATGATTGCTATTTTTATAAACCAGTTTCTCCTTTTAAAAATCTTTCAGCTGGAAACTTTCAAACATAGTAATCATTACAGAAACCTAAAGTAGAAAAAGATACTTGAGGTATAAAACACATTGAGAGATAAAAAATTCAAAACAGAATTACTATACATTCTCCTATATAGAAAAAGAAAGGAATGCTTCTTTTATAATGGCCATTTGTATCTTTTAAATTTTAAAAAAGTAGTCTTTCATTCTATATTAGGCCGAATATCTTCAAAATGTTTTGTTTGATTATCAATATGGATTTAAAAAAAAACAATCTGATCATTACGAAGAACCATTACAAGGATTAAGACTCAGCTTTAATACTTACTTTGGAGCCTGATTCATGTTCAAGAGACTAAAGTCCTCATTCAAATACAGGAATTACAGGAGTTGGTACTCAGATGTCAATCTATTTGTCAAAAGCAGGAAAGGAAACAGCTAGTAGCATGCATTTCATACATCTTAAGTCTCTACAGTGCCACTCATTTTAAATAACTAGGAATCCTATAAAAAAATCAAACTGGTAATTCTACCCATCCACCCTCATATATATATATTTATCATAAGCTATGATTCTTTCTCCAAGCTGATAAATAAAATAACATTGTAAGGCAACCTTCTCTGGGAAGATGTTGCACCATATTAGCTTGGGTGATAAGACTTGCCTCAATAGCACCAAGATGGGGAAGACTGAGGCAGAATAAATGTCAGAGGGGGGTGGACAACTTCCTTTCATAGAATCAACGGAAAAAAACCTGCCCAATTTCTGTCTGGATTTCTAGATGCGGAGGTGCTCCCTGAGAGCAAAAGATGTTCTGTTATGACAGCCTAAGGCGGAATATACTTCGTTAAATACTTCGTTAAATAGATTATGCCAGGAGCGACTTTGCGGCTACCTGGATGAGGAGAAGCACTGGAGCGTCCCCTAGCGGAGTCACGTCGAACGCTCTTTTCGCTGCTCGGAGGGTAGGAGAGGAGCCTCATGGCCTCTCCGCAGGTAGTCTCTACTTGGCGCACCTGCTCCTGGCTGAGCCGCTCCCGCCAGGCGTGGATGGCTTCCCGAGCATCGCGGGCGGAGATGAGGAAGGGCCGCTCCGAGGAGTAGGCGACCCCGCGGGTCATGTTAAAGACGAAGGCCTCGAGGGCCGGCGGCGCGGGAAGATCCGCGAAACTCAGCAAGCGGCTCAACTGGGCGCGCGGCTCCAGCACCAGGTCCTCGTAGCGGACTTGCGTGTACCGACGGCGCAGCCAGGCGGGGGCCCGGCGGGAGAAGATCAAATCACGCAGCCAAGCCTGGCAGATCACCTCGAGGGCGCCGCCCAGGAAGAATTCGGCTCGATGCTGCGGCTGTGTTCGGACGGCTCCACCGCCGGCGATGGCGGCGGCAGCGGGCGGGAGCTGCCGGCGGGGCAGTCTTCGGAACTCGGCGTGATACTTGCTCCGCAGCACCTGAATGCTCTCCCGGAGCAGCGCCTGTTTGGCTTTGAGTCGAGAATTATGGACTGCGCGGGGATCGCGGAAAAGCTGGATGACGTGCAGGTTGAGGTCCGGGTCTCGCAGCAGTGGCAGCAGCGCCCCCAACTCCAGCAGCCTCACGTCCTTAATCACCATCACTGGGTACTTTCGGCACTCGGCTTCCAACTCCTGCAGCGGCCGCGGATGGCAGCTCCGCTCGCAGGCGGCGCTGTCGACAAGGCCCACGTCGGCGCGGGCCCGGGCTGCGCGGGCACAAAAAGGCGCGGAGCAGATCACTTTGTTGGTCCGCCACCCGAAAATGCTCGCCGTACTCAGGTTGCCGCTCCCGCTGCCCGACTTGGCCCCGAAGGAGGCGGGCACGGGGATGAGCGGGTCGCGGCCGGCCGGCGGTGTGGCATAGAGGCGTAAGACCGAGAAGTCGCAGCGGAAGAGAGAGCGCATCATGTCCCGGAGGGCGCCCTGCAGGCTCAGCGCGTCGCTAGGATAGAGCGCTTGCCACAAGTGCCACATGGGCTCGTACAGGTAGAAAACATCCGGGTGCTGATTGAACACTTCTCCCAGGAAAGACGAGCCGGTGCGCCAGGTGGCGTGCAAGTAGATGTGCCGCTTCCCGCCCACTCTGCTTCGCAGACTGGGCGCCCTCCGGGTCCCGTCCTCAGCCTCTCCTGCCGCTGGTGGTGGTGGTGGCGGTGGCTCTTTCCAGCCCCAGTCGCCGAGCGCCTCCTCCAGGCTGGGGCAGCCGTGGGGCAACTGCGACTCCTCGCCCGCGCCCCCCCTTCTGGCTCGATAGTCCAGCGTGTAAGACACGAGCAGCAGGAGCAGCAGCGTGTAGACGGCTAAACCCAGCGCAAATCGCCGATGGAGCTGCCATCGCCACCTCCATTGTCGCCGGCTCTTCATGGCTCCCTTGGAACCACGCCGGAGGGAGCTGTCCTCCCCGCCACTGTCGCCCGGTTCAAAAACAAGCTCAGACTTGAGAAAGGCGGAGGGGAAACGGGGGTGGTGGCCACTGCTGCAGCGGCCGCCTTCCCGACGTAGAAACACGCCCCCAGTTGCCGGCAAGAGGGTGCAAGCGATCGCCAGCCAGCCGTTCCTTCAACTTAGGCTGCGGCTCCGCGCTGCTTCAGGGTGATGCCAACGCATCCAGTCCCTCTGAGTCCCCCGGCGTTTTAAGTCCGCGTAAGGTTAAGACTGGTCTCCTGTTCCGATTATTTGTGGGGGAGGGAGGAGGGAAAAGGTATCGGAGTGGCGTTTTCCCAGCCAGCCTGTATTTGCATAGGATGAAGTTGAGTGACCGCATTCATTAACCTCACAAATCTAAATGCAAATTAAGTAATTTAAATTAAAAAGAGGTATTGTTTATTTATGGTTAAAGCACTCAGTACTTTCAGTTATCCCGTACTCTTTGCCCTGGAGATGAAGATAAATACTGAATAGGATAATCCTTAAGCCTAAAAAGGGTGTATGCTAAGTACTGATATTGCAAATTCTATTCTGCCTTCTCACTCTTTAATCCTCAAGGTCAGTTGGACACTCACAATCCAAGACACTTAAATAAGCCAGTAAACTACATTTATACCTAACATTTAGCCAACACCCATGGTTTGCAAATGACAGCTGAGTTTGCACAATAAAGTAATGGTGTCTTTTGAAGTCTGAACCCAACAGCAATATAAACTCTTAGTAAAGGGAATAGACATTATTTGATTTGACTGAAACACTCAATTCCCAATACTACTCAAAGGAGTTCAGAGTGATTCCAGCCTACTTGTAATCTAGCCAACTTTATGGCATTCTGAGGCTACTACTAGTTGTTTTAGGAAAAAGCAGGAATGTTTCTTTGAGTTCCTTGGAAAAGGTCACTTTAACTGAAGATGCATATTAATGAATAAAAGAATGATTCTGGAAAAAAAGTTACATTTCTTGGTTTCTGCTGCAGAGAACATCCGGTTCCTTGATCTTACTAAATGTAATGTATAAATAGTGTGATATATAAATAATAAATGTATTCAGTGAGAAAAGCAGAAGGGCATCTTCACTTGGTCACATAAGGTAAAAAGGGCCATATGAGAAGATTTTATTTTTAATCCATTTAGATTTTTAAAAGTAACATTTCTCAGCATTTTGAACTTAGAACTTAGAAATGCATCGTTAATAATAGCCAATATATGTAAAATAAGAAGAGAGAAAGATTGTCACTCCTGTTATACTTTCTCTACACACAAATGTTTGCAAGCACATGGGCATGGAATGCAGGTACACACACAGAGAAAGCAATTAGGCTTTATGACAGTCTCCAGTGATAATAATGGAGATCATTTTAAAAGCTTGATTTTGACTTTTTTTAGGGCTTTTAACAGTAGCTATAATGGAATTAGTTCTCCCCTACTCTGTAGCAGCCCTTCTTTAAAACTGCTTCCATGTAGGCTTTTTAAAACTTCACAATAATGCAGAAGAGCAATTTTTCAAGGAAGATTATAGCACTGGTTAGCTATTATAGCACCATTTATGGATCTTATTTAAGGAGTCTTTCTCAATGTTCAGCAGTGGATTGAAGATGGTCAAGGGAAGGGAGCTCAAATTTGTAAGCTGACTGGATGGAAAACCCTTCAAGGGCCGGAGATATCAAAGGCATAGCATGAGTTCCATCAAGCTATATTTAATAAAAGTCTAACAAATACATTGGCTCACACAACATCTTAAGTCAAAATGTGTGTCTGTAGGGGGGCAATTCTTGGCTTCTTTGTTATGTAAATCAGCCAATGTGATTTATAAACCATGCTTTTTGCCTTTAGTTATGAAAAATATTATTGGAAATTTTAGTTACTTTTTCAAATCCCCTTTAGGTAGATTATTTTACAGTAACCCAATATGGACGCCAGTAAAGCACAAATAACTGACCAGATAATATCATCTACAGATGCTTGCTAAAAACTGAAACAGAGTATTAATGACTACTGCTATAATTTGAGAAATTCATGTAACAAAGATCAAAAGTATTCCAAAGCTATGAACCTTGTTTTCTAGATACCATTTAGAATGGGCAGAACTTTTACTCTTATCAGCCAAGAATATTCTGTCTAGTTTATGTTATGTGTCAGTTTGGCCATAATCAATTATTATCCAAGCAAGACAGAATGTGCTTATTTGCTGAGCTATAGTTACTACCAATGTAGTAATCTCCCTGAATGTTGGATTTTGACTCCCCTGATTAATTGGAATAACAGATCTAAATACATTCACCAAATTATTTACAGCAGGAAATAAGTCAAGAATCAGTGCTGTAGCTACTTGTGATCTGTTTGTCTCCTGATGTAAAAAAGATTACTTCAGGAGACAAACTGATCACAAGTAGCTACAGGACCGATTCTTCTCTTGAAAATATACAGGAATAAAAACATTTACATTCTGTTTAATACTACCGTATATGTCGGCGTACAAGGCGACCCAGCGTATAAGATGACCCCCATCTTTATCGCCGAGCCGCATTCCTAGAATGTCGTCTTATACGCCGGAAACTACCAGTATTTCCGGTGTATAAGACGACTCGGCGTATAAGATGACCCCCGTCTTTGGTGCCGATTTTAGCGCTCGCGGAAGTTGCCTTATACGCCGGCATATACGGTATATGAATGTAATACTCTATATTATTTTGAGCTTACACTATATGTTCCAGCCCTGTTAAAATATATAGGAACTCTGGGAAAGTTGTATATCTTCTTCTTGTTGTGCCATATCCGTTATCAGACATTGGCGATCATGTTGGCGATCCTGTTTTTATCAACAGCTGCACGAAAAAGTGCTACTGAGTTTTGTCCAAACTAGTCCCTTAGATTTTGAAGCCATGATCTTCTTCTTCTGCCTGGACCTCGTTTGCCTTCAATCTTTCCCTGGAGGATTAAATGGAGTATGCTGTATTTTTCTGGGTGTCGCATCACATGTCCGAAATATTCTAATTTTCGTTTTTTTAATTGTTTTGATGATTTTCCTTGGCTTTCCCAGGCGGCTTATCACCTCCTCATTTCTGATCTTGTCAACCCAGTTTATACGTAACAGCCGCCTGTAAATCCACATTTCAAATGCTTCTAGTCTCTTCAGGTGGCTTTTTTTTCTTTTTTTTTTTACAAATATTTTATTAAGTTTTATAAGGGTAAAAGGGGAATAAGGTCAACAAAGGTATAACAAAGGGAAACATACAAAAGGGTTAGACCAAAGGAAAAGGGTAAACACAATAGTGGGATTATTCCCACAAAATAACATCACTTCAGCAAGTAGACCCATCCGGGTGTACATATTACATCTTAATAATTAGTCTAATATTAAACAGTTTACAATAATTAATTTTATCTATAATCATGTAAATAACAAGTTGGTCAATATATCTCATTCATTTTACTAAATAACAATGCTTAATATAATATTACTAATATATTACTAATTAGTTGTAATAACTTTAAAATATTGATATATTACTTATTAGCTATAATTTACTTATTATTAAAAATCACAAATAAGAAAAAGAAAAAAAGAACATCAAAATAAACATAAAATATAAGTACAAATTATCAATTATCCCTTTAAGTTTCATAACCTTTTCTCCTTCTATCGTATTGCTAACCATTGGTAAAATTTGTCCCATGTTTTAAAGTAAATTGTATCTTCTTTCTCTTTCATTTCTAAAGTTAATCTATCCATTTCTGCACATTCAAGTATTTTTGTTATTATAATCTGGTCAGATGGTAAATTTTCATTTTTCCAGAATTGAGCAAATACTATTCTCGCAGCTATTAACACATGTAATATTAGGTACTCAATCTCTTTTCCATAATTCAAACCTAATATTCCTAACAAACACAGTTCTGGTTTAAATTCTATCTGTATTTTAATCATCTTTTCTAGCCACATATGAATCTTAAACCAAAATTTCTTAGCATTAGGGCAAATCCACCAGAGGTGGTGTAAGGACCCACCCCACTTTGCATCTTAAAAAGACAGAACTCTTGGAATAATTCTTCCAACAGGAATCCTTTATTAAGAGAAAATGGTTGCAGGCATGCTAGACAGGACTTGGGGTCCAAGCTCTCCCATTCAAGGTTTTAAGGGGTTCCCCAGTAGTCCCACCCAATCAACCCCCCTTCCAGTGATAGTTTCAAGTATCACAATTCCACTCCCTTTCTTCTTTCTTCCGTCTGGATGGAGACTTCAGATAATTACATGAAAGGCAACTTCCCTCCTTTGGTATGTTAACGCTTCGAGGTTACAATAAACACACATTCAGCATTCAGCTCTTTGAAGTGTAAAGAAGGAAGTGAGGGCCATAAAGCCCCTTTGTTCTCCCCCTTCTCTCCCTCTTATGGCAGAATCCAGAGAAGGCAGAATTGGGAGTTTCTATATTTGATAATTTAAAGATGAAATATAATTGGATTCTGACATCCGGCCCCTCTTAACAATAAGAGAGATCCACCTGAAAGAAAACACAGTATAAAATTTAGTCAGGCTTGTTAGGATACTCTGTGTGAAACTTCTTCAATAGCTTCGGGGCTCTGACATGACGTTTATGGACCCACTCATTTTGTGAGGGAGGGAGGTGTTTCCAGGCAACTAGGTACTGAGTTGCTCCATGATATCTCCTAGAGTCAAGGACTTCCTTTATTTCGAAGTGTTGTTCACCCTCCACCATGATTGGAGGTGGTGGGGGGGGGATTTTTGGCCGTAGAGGTGACTGATGCTCTCTTTTCAGCAAGCTGCAATGAAAAATTGGGTGTATTTGCCTGAGATTTTTGGGTAACTCTAATTCTACTGTTACTGGATTTATGATTCTTTTAATTGGAAAAGGTCCTATGTATTTTGGTCCAAGTTTTTTACAGGGCTGTAGGGACTTTAGGTATTTTGTAGATAAGTACACCATCTCTCCTATAATGAATGGTGTAGGCTCAACCCTTTTTTTATCGGCTTGTGTTTTGTAAGCCTGCCTAGCTTCATCTAGTGCTTTTCTGACTATTGGCCAGGTGTTTTGTAATTTTTCCATCCATTCTTTCAGCGAGGGGATCGTTGGTTCGTTTGGGGTTAATTCTGGCATGGGGTTGAAGCTTTGACCGGTGGCTATTTGAAAAGGAGTGTAACCTGTGCTGGAGTGGACTGCATTATTGTAGGCAACTTCTGCAAAGGGGAGTAAGTCCGCCCACTCGGTCTGCTGGAAACTAAGAAAACATCTTAAATATTGCTTAAGTACTGAGTTCATTTTTTCAGCCCCCCCATTTCCTTGAGGGTGGTGGCTAGATGTCAGTCCCTGAGTGGTTCCTAAGAGGGATAAAAATTCCTTCCAAAATGCAGACGTAAATTGCACCCCCCTGTCAGAGATGATGCGTTGGGGTGCCCCATGCAATCTGTAAATGTGTTGGATGAAAAGTTTTGCTAAGGCTTTTGCAGTGGGAATCTTTTGGCAAGGGATAAAGTGCACCTGTTTGGAAAACAAGTCCGTGACCGTCCAGACCACAGTATTCCCATTGCTTTCTGGCAATTCCACTATAAAATCCATGGCTATTTCTCTCCAGGGGGCTGAGGGACTTGCCACTGTTTGCAATAGTCCTGGCACTTTCCCTTGCAACCTCTTTGCCGTGGCACATTTTGGACAACTGGCTATATAACTTTCAATGTCCTTTTTCATGGATGGCCACCAAAATTGCCGTTTAATTAAATGTAAAGTTTTTACAAATCCAAAATGCCCTGCTGATTTTGTGTCATGGCAAAGGTGCATGAAAGTTACTCTTTGAGTTGTTGGTATATATAACTTTTCCCCTATCCAAGGCAACCCGTCTTTCATTGTGCACACATTTTTGTTTTTCTGGAACCAATCATCTGTTTCCAAACTTTTTCTGAATTCAATTCCAGTTTGGCTGTCCAGTTGTGGTTTTAATTTGGCTTGGTTTCTTGTGGTTACTGGTGCTGCCAGTTGTGACTCTGCCATTATTGGTCTAGAGTCTGTGGTTCGTGCGCTGTTAGATTGGGGCATGCGAGATAGTGCATCTGCCAGGAAGTTCTTTCTTCCTGGTAAATGTTTGAGCTTAAATTGGAATTGGTGAAAAGGCTGGGACCAGCGGGCTTGTTTGGGATTGAGTTTCCTGGAAGTTTTCAGGGCTTCCAAATTTTTGTGATCAGTCCACACCTGGAAGGGGATTTTGTTGCCTTCCAGGAACTGTCGCCATGTGAGTAATGCCCAATGTATCCCATAAGCCTCCTTCTCCCATACGGGCCAGCGCTGTTCTGTTTCCGTGAGTTTCTTAGATGTATATGCACAGGGTTGCAATACTGCCTCATCATTTTCTTGTAATAGCACAGCCCCCACTGCCACATCACTTGCATCTGCCTGTATTATGAAGGGTTTGTCCATGTCTGGGTGCCTTAGTACTGGTTCGGCAGAAAAAAGTCTCTATAGTCTCTCAAACGCTGCTTGGCACTCCATTGTCCATGTTAGTGGCTGGCTAGGTTTTACTGAGGATGTTCCCTTCGTTTTTAGTAAGTTAGTGAGGGGCAAGGCTATCTGTGCAAATGAGGGGATGAATTGGCGGTAAAAATTTGCAAAGCCCAGGAAACTTTTTAGTTGCTTTCTTGTGCGGGGTGGTGCCCAATTTAGTACTGCTTTGACCTTCTCCGGGTCCATTTCAATGCCCTGTGGGGATATGCGATAGCCTAGGTAGTCTATCCTTTCCTGGTGGAATTCGAATTTTGAGAGTTTGGCATATAGGTGAGCGGCTCGCAACTTCTTTAAAACCGCTCTGACAAGTTTGACGTGTTCTTCTTTTGTTTCGGTAAAGATAAGAATGTCGTCCAAGTAAACAAGGACCCCCTTAAATAGGTGCTCCCTTAGAATGTCATTGATTAATTGCATAAAGACTGCAGGGCCCCCTTGTAATCCAAATGGCAAGACTTTGAATTGATAGCACCCCATGGGGCAGTGAAATGCAGTCTTCCATTCGTCCCCTTCCTTGATTCTCACTCGATAGTAAGCTTCCCTTAAGTCTAGTTTAGAAAAAATTTTCCCTTTCGATAGGTGTGACAGCATGTCTTTCATGAGGGGCAACGGGTATAGGTTGCTTTCACTGATTGTATTCAGGGCCCTATAATCCACGCATAAACGTAAAGAGCCATCCTTCTTCTCTCTAAAAAGGACCGGGGCAGCCACTTTAGGCTTGGCTGGCTCAATGAAACCTCTCTCCATGTTTTTTTTTATAAATCTTTCCATTTCCTCCTTCTCCTTTGGGCTCATGGAGTATAATCTGGGCTTCGGGAGTTTTGGCCCAGGCTTGAATTCAATGGTACAG